CAAAATATATATCAAAATATATATACTGTATGTGTGTGTATTTATATATACATAAATATACACAGTACACACACACATATATTATGTAAACAAAAACTTTTATTTTGGATGTGATTAATCATTTGACAGCACTAATTTTTATATTTTTATTTCATGGCAGAAGCAAAAAAAAACTAAATTGCAAGATGTAAACTTCGAATTCTGAATTGAACTTTATATCTCACAGTTCTGCATTTTGTTTTCTAGACTTGTGAGAAACAGCCTGAATTGCGAGCTATAAAGTTTTTGTTGTAATGGGTTTCTGCGGTTGTTCTGGCAGGTTTTCCCGCTGGCGTCTCTGGAGAAGCGGCAGCCGACGGTTCTGGTGGCCTGCGGTCCGGATCAGAACGGCTGCGTGGGTCTGGCGTGTGCTCGTCATCTGCGTGTGTTTGTGAGTGAACGCACCACAGCTTCATCAGCGTCTGTGATCTCTGAGACTGACGGATGTGTGTGTGTGTGTGTGTGTGACAGGAGTACATCCCCACCGTCTTCATCCCCAAACGCTCCTCAGACGCTCTTCATCAGGACCTGAGGCTTCAGTGTGAGCGGATGGACCTGCCGTTCCTGTCCTACCTGCCCACTGAGGTCAGCAAACAGCCCGGAGCCTTCACTCCAGGAGCACATCTGCGTTCCACAGACGACTACAGAAGCCCTGAGCGCTTTCAGAAAGCTGCTTTCTCTAGACAGAAAACTTTCTTCAAAAAACTTACTTCTTTCTTTCTCTCTTCAAAAACTTATTTTGCTCTTCAAAAAACGTTAGGGTTAGTACCTTGTTATTACCCAGTTATTGTGTTTACTATAACAAGTACATAGTATACGTGCAGAACAGGACTGTAAAATAAAGTGCTTTTTTAAAACTTTTTTCTCCTACTTCAAGGGAAACACGAGAGAAAGTTGAGGTCTGTGCTAATGTTAGCGGCCATCATTCATTCTTTCAGAGAGAAAACAAACGGTTTTTAAGAAAGAAAAAAGTTTTTTGGAGAAAACAAAGTCTTAGGACTTCGGCTAAGAAAGGAAACACTTTGTTTTTCCACCTTGGATTTTTTTCAATGTTTTCAGGGCTTCTGTAGATTTCAGCTCCTAATGTTAACTAAACATGAGTTGTGCTTATTAGAGGGTTTTTTCACTAGTTAAGTATATTTACAGTAAAACAGCGAGAAGATCAAAGTCATAAATCTAAAGTTATGTTCCAAATTTTAGGTTGATATCACAAACATGAGCTTTCAGTAATATGTGTTTGCACGTTTCCACTTGATAAAATGAAAAAGTGCAGTAAAATACGCTTGGTACACTTCTATAATGCGCTCTATTTTCGCGCACTAATTTTGTACTTAATATACTAAAAAAATATTGTTTAGTACTTCTTGAGATAATCTTCAGAACATCTAAGTGTACTCGACTGTGCTATTTTGGGACATCATGAATATGAACTAAAATGTGCTTTTAACATACTATCTCTGTAAAACAAACTTGTACTTGTAGTACAATTGAAACCATATTTCATAGACTTTTAAATATACTCATACATAGAAAATACACTTATGAATTATTTAAAATATAAGGTTAATATTTAATGAATATACACTAAATTTATTTATAATGTATTGCCCACATATTTTTGTAGATTAAATAGTTCATTTAAAATGTTTTGTAATTATGTCAACATTCCCTTTATATGATACTTAACTACATGTTTATGGTGTCTTTAAATAGAACAAGCAAGTACACTATTACTATGTCATTAGTAGCACTTTTTTCCACATTAAAAATATAGCACTTCAGTACTTTATGCTAAAAGTATGCTGTCTGTTAAATTGTAAATTCTGGTACACATCTAAACACATACAAATGAATAATGAATCGTGTGCTATTAGTGCCTTTATAGCAGCCTAAGCGCAGTAACCTAGGGTTTTACTTTACTACTGTATTTTTCCTGAAAATCAAAATAGAACTTAAGTAATAATATATATGACTAGATAGTGAAGTTTGTAGACAAACTTTAAGTTGGCTTGAAAAAGCCTAGCCAGAAAGTTTGAAGAAGTTTTAAAAGCTTAAAGTTTGAGGGTTTTCAGTTTTAACTAATTTGAAGTAGTTTTAAAGTGTTGAAGGCAATACAATCTATCAGAAAAATAGATAGATAGATAAGAAATAGTAAACTAGCATGTTGCTAGCATGATTAGCAAGTTACTAGCATGTTGCTAGTGTGTTTCCAGCATGATTAGCAAGTGACTAGCATGTTGTTAACATGATTAGCAAGTTACTAGCATGTTGCTAGTGTTTCCAGCATGATTAGCAAGTGACTAGCATGTTGTTAACATGATTAGCAAGTTACTAGCATGTTGCTAGTTAAGTTGGCTTGAAAAAGCCTAGCCAGAAAGTTTGAAGAAGTTTTAAAAGCTTAAAGTTTGAGGGTTTTCAGTTTTAACTAATTTGAAGTAGTTTTAAAGTGTTGAAGGCAATACAATCTATCAGAAAAATAGATAGATAGATAAGAAATAGTAAACTAGCATGTTGCTAGCATGATTAGCAAGTTACTAGCATGATTAGCAAGTTACTAGCATGTTGCTAGTGTTTCCAGCATGATTAGCAAGTGACTAGCATGTTGTTAACATGATTAGCAAGTTACTAGCATGTTGCTAGCATGATTAACAAGTGACTAGCATGACGCTAGCATGATTAGCAAGTGACTAGTATGTTGCTAGCATGATTAGCAAGTGACTAGCATGACGTTAACATGATTAGCAAAGTTAGTAGCATGTTGTTATCATGTTGTTAGCATGATTAGCAAGTTACTAGCATGTTGCTAGCATGATTAACAAGTGACTAGCATGACGCTAGCATGATTAGCAAGTGACTAGTATGTTGCTAGCATGATTAGCAAGTGACTAGCATGACGTTAACATGATTAGCAAAGTTAGTAGCATGTTGTTATCATGTTGTTAGCATGATTAGCAAGTGACTAGCAAGTTGTTAGCATGATTAGCAAACTTACTAGCATGTCGTTATCATGTTTCTAGCATGTTACTAGCATTATTAGCAAGTTAGTAGAATATTGTTATCATGTTGTTAGCATGATTAGCAAGTTACTAGCATGTTGCTAGCATGACTAGCAAGTGACTAGCATGTTGTTAGCATGATTAGCAAACTTACTAGCATGTCGTTATCATGTTTCTAGCATGTTACTAGCATTATTAGCAAGTTAGTAGAATATTGTTATCATGTTGTTAGCATGATTAGCAAGTGACTAGCATGACGCTAGCATGATTAGCAAGTGACTAGTATGTTGCTAGCATGACTAGCATGTTGTTAGCAACGTTACTAGCATGTTGTTAACATGATTAGCAAGTGACTAGCATGAGCAGGACTGACGCAGTCACTAAGCTGCTGGTTCTCCTCCTGAAGGTGCAGCTGATCAATGAAGCCTATAACCTGGTCGTGGACGCGGTTCTGGGTCCAGAAACTGAGCTGGCGTCAGTCGGAGAGCCGTTCACCGGAGTCCTGCAGACGCTACGAGGACTCAAAGCGCCCATCGCCAGCCTGGACATCCCGTCAGGTACGAGACCTCCTCAAAACCACCGGTCATAGACCTGCGTGACCAGCTGGTGCTGGTGACGGTTTAGCAGTCAACACCTGGGCCCGTATTCACAACACATTTCATCTGACCGCTGAGAGTTCTCCTAAACAGCAGTAAACGTTTTAGCTATAGATTTATCCAGATTTTCTAATAGTTGTATCTCAGCCAAATATTGTCCGATCCTAACAAACCATACATCAATGGAGAGCTGATTTCTAAAGGCGGCTCTAGTCTGGTGCTAATGTATTGTGACTGCAGGCTGGGACGCAGACGAGTCCAGCTCAGACGGGATCAGTCCTGCGCTTCTGGTTTCTCTGATGACGCCGAAGCGATGCGCCCTGAGCTTCTCCGGAGCACACTTCCTGGCCGGACGCTTCCTGCCCTTTGACCTTCAGAGGAAGTACGAGCTGAACCTGCCCAAGTTCTCCGGGACGGACGCTGTGGTCCAGCTGTGAGCCGCTCCATGTCTTCGTTTAAGAGCAACAAACACAACTTGATTGATGCGCTTCCATCGCTACAGGATTCGTTCACTTCCAGAATGAACGCTCCACTCGTTACAAAGCGGAGTTTCTTTCTTCTGTTGAACACAAATGAAGATATTTTGAAAAACAGTTGATGAGCACCATTGACTTCCACAGCATTTTCCCCTGCTAGTCATCTTTATTTATATAAGTCTGAGCGTGTCAAAGCAGCTTCAGTGTCGCCAGGAGAATAGTTTGTCAAGAATGCAAGAGGATCGTTATTACTAAAGTTAAATAATGAAGAAATTAATGATAAATGTAATATAGCAGTAGCTTTTAATACATTTTACTAATACAAGTTCAGTCACTTCATCTGCTTTCTCTGTAGAGATAATATGGCCATCTCTTCAAGTTGTATAAGAAATGTTTTAAAATGTACCTATTTCCCCGTCTCAGGTTCATAAAGTTCATGCTGGCCCTGATCAAACGGAGCCTTACTTATTAAAAATATCTGCAGACTTAATAGCGAGACCTATTGCCTCTATTTAATTTAAGTTTAAGCAGTGGTCTGATACCAAGCTCTTGGAAGCCAGCAATTATTCGGCCATTACTGAAGGGTATATACTATTTCAAGATGGTCCGTTACAGCTAAAGTGTGTGCATCTATGGTAAATGAACAGTTTAAGTACTATTTGTCAGCTAATAATATTTTACGTCAAACTCAATCAGGTTTTAGACAAGAACTTAGTACTATGGCATTGCAGCAGTTAGTCACTAATGATATAATAACTGCATTGGGTGATAAAATCACGTGCTGCAGTAAATAATGAAGAAATTAATGATAAATGTAATATAGCAGTAGCTTTTAATACATTTTACTAATACAAGTTCAGTCACTTCATCTGCTTTCTCTGTAGAGATAATATGGCCATCTCTTCAAGTTGTATAAGAAATGTTTTTAAATGTACCTATTTCCCCGTCTCAGGTTCATAAAGTTCATGCTGGCCCTGATCAAACAGAGCCTTACTTATTAAAAATATCTGCAGACTTAATAGCGAGACCTATTGCCTCTATTTAATTTAAGTTTAAGCAGTGGTCTGATACCAAGCTCTTGGAAGTCAGCAATTATTCGGCCATTACTGAAGGGTATATACACTATTTCAAGATGGTCCGTTACAGCTAAAGTGTGTGCATCTATGGTAAATGAACAGTTTAAGTACTATTTGTCAGCTAATAATATTTTACGTCAAACTCAATCAGGTTTTAGACAAGAACTTAGTACTATGGCATTGCAGCAGTTAGTCACTAATGATATAATAACTGCATTGGGTGATAAAATCACGTGCTGCACTCGTTATTGATTTATCGAATGCATTTGATTCTGTGAATCAAGATCTTTTGTTGCAAAGGCTTAAATGTGTAGGTTTTAGTGATATAGTGTTGAAGTGGTTCTCTAATTATTTGACTGGAAGGACTCCATGTGTGTCCACAGATAATTGTGCTTCTGCTCCTTTAATAGCAAAGCCCGGTGTACCGCAAGGATCAATTTCGGGGCCAATTTTATTTTCTATCTATATGAATGAACTTTGTTAATTAGTTGCTCCAGCAAATGTACACTTATGTAGATGATACTATCATCTTTAAAAGAGGCAGAATGCATTTCAGATCTCTCTTGGCAACTTACAATTAGTGTTAAATGCTAAAAAAACTAAATACACGATTTTTTACACAGTCCAGATTGTCATTAAATGATTTTATGATTCAAACTTTAAATGGTACACAGATTGAAAGGGTTGCATCTTACAAATATCTCGGCATCTGGCTTGATGATAGGCCGACTCACAGCTCTCATATCGACAGTTTTTTAAAGAAATTGAGACCGTTAGGTTTCTATTTTTGTTTAAAAAAAAATGTTGCTCGTAAACGTTTAGTAGAAAGTACTCTTCTATCAGTATTGGACTGTGGTGATATAATTTATATGCATGCATCATGTTTTGAAAAAAAATTGGATGTAGTTTATCATTCTGCTTTACGATTTGTTACTGGCACACGTATCCCCACACACCACTGTAATTTATGACAAATTGGACTTCAAGCTTTAGTGGGTAAATTACCACGGTATACATCTAGTTTGTTGACACTGCACAAATATTTATAATATCAGATCAACAGAAACTCTTTAAGATGCCGATTTTTCGTACAGATAGGTCGTTCTGCTTTTTCTAAATATGCTCCGCATGTATGGAATGAGACGTTCCACCAACCTCACGCTTCAGAGGAACAAACCCCGTTCATCTCCAAACCCCAGACGGCTTCCGATGGGAACTCAACCTGAACAAAACCAAAGACAGATCACTAAACCTTAAACACTCAAACGCAGGAATCACAGACATCAAAACTAACTACAGTGTCTTTGGAACTAATTTGGCGTTTCTCAAATTTAACTACATGGTTTTAGTTCGTTTGACAGATACCGTGTCAAAGCATAATGGCCCAAAACAACTGGAGACCTTTAATGTTAGAATAAGTTAATTTTAAACGACACTTTTTGCCTGGAAGACGTATGGTTTTATATCATCATGTGACCACGATGGAGAGCGCTAAAGATGGTTCATATTTATATAAAATTAAAAAAAAAGCACTTCAGTTCTCAAATCTTAAACCTTTATTAAGATCATTCTACTATATTGAAACAATATTTCAAATTGTAAGCCTAGCATTTATAAAATGTATTGGGAGGTGGCTGTTCCGAACCCTAACACCTAAACTTCTCATCTTTAGTTTTTAAAAAGCAAGTTAAATTTTGTAAATTACGAAAGTACATAAAGTCCCACATTTTTCATGTCACTGTATTAGTCTATTGGCCGAGACGGATTGTAACCACAGCCCTGCATTTATGATCAGGAAATATTCCTCTTATAGCTACGAGGAGCGAGCACATGGTCACAGCATCGGCGTAAATGTTCAGAAGTCTTAAAATAAATCTGTGTAACTTTAAGGAGCGTCACTACCAAACTTTTTTTCTCCTGCAATGAAACTTTTGGGGAGTTATTCCATAACATTGACGTCACTGTTTACATGTTTAGAACTGTGCTAGCTAACCATGTGCTGATTAG